GTTAAGCGTTCGCGGTTTTTAGGAATAAATTTTTGACATGAAAAATGCTGTAAGAGAACAATGTTTCATAATTTTAACAACATTCGTTAAAGCGTATTGTGTTTCTCTCATCCATCATCAGCAAATGAAAAAATGTTTCCAGCAGTGAGAGTGAATAAGAACAAAATAAAACATGAACTACAAACTTCTTTGAGACATGACTGCTTTTGATCAAACAGAAATCAAAGCATCTACAATCGCAGATTGCATGACTTCTTCAAAGTTAATTTAACACTGCTCATTAAAATAACAACTAAATGTTTCTGTTGTATCAGCAATTATGTAATTAGCACATAAATTGGATTAAAAACCTGTATGTGTAAATTGTATTAGAAATAAGTGAAGTGTGTATATATATAAATAGAAAAATTAAATATAAACTGTATAAATAACATTGGTGAATTTTTTTTTTTTTTTTTTTTTTTTTTTTTCCCCTACCTCAAAGGTGCGTTAGGCCAGAAGGGCTAGTTTCGAAACAGCATTTTGCGTTGAATCACACTAAAAGTTTGAATCACTTTTCAGAATATTGCCACAAAATATTATCGCCTTGTATTATGTTTAAAGAATTAAATAATAAAGAATCTGTATGAATCTATGTATGCTCTTCGCATTGTGAAAAAATGGCGGTACCTAGAGACATCAAATTTTGAAATAAGTAATCCTCAACTCGAATATAGGCACATGCAAGCCCGAATTTTAAATTTCGATTTTTTTTTATTATCAATTTCATATTTTGTAAAACTTTTTTATTAGCAGCGAATTGTTTATTAGCAGACTCAACGATTTCAAAGAGAGGAATGGCAACACTGTACGGAAAAAAACACTTTTTATCTCCAGCGCGAGGCCTATCTATAGGAAATTCTAAAGATATGCTGTTTTACTCCCTGGTATATGTTAAGCAGTTTTACACTGAGCTCACCTGGGATAATAAGAGAGTAATATAATAAAGTGTCCTAAACAGAGTGACTGAAAAGCAAATAAAAATCTGTGCTTTTTTTTTCGCCCCTAATCTAGTCTTTTTTTTTTTTTTTTTTTTTTTTTTTTTTGCATAAATTAGTGGAAATATTTTTTGTTCGACGATCACTTTACGTAAAAAGCTTTATATTCTGTCTTTAGTAATGATGTCTTTTAAGAAAGTTTGAAATGCGTAGATTTTGTGACTTTTGAGATTTTTAATTTCAAACCCTTTCTAGCAGTATGCCGCGGAATTTTTAAAACAAACTGTATTTATGTATCCGGGGGATCATCTACCATTCACTCGCGCACTTAAACCATCTGTGCTTTGAGATTTGGGGCAGGAATTCGAACTGAAAAATATAAGCATGATAAATGAAAAATTTTAAGCTTCCTATAGGAAATGCACTCGGAAATTTTCAGTACCATTTTGAGCGAACAGATAATAATGTTTGACAGTCATATCGAAAATGTAATATGCATCTCGCGATCTAGCCGTTTATAGGCATTGGCCATTACTAAGACCGAAAGCGTTGTCTCTTTATTATGGAAGCACCTTATAGGTGGGCCACCATTGGCTCCTAAGAAGGGACAAACAAATTACATCCATGCCTTCCCCGGGATTTGAACCCGAGCCCTTCGGTATGGCAGTCAGAGTCATTAGCCACTTTCCCGTAACTTTCTGGGCTGCGTTTTAAGTAATATATCTAATCGTCATAATCTGAAATACATTTCATTTTTAATATCAAAATATAAAGAAGCAAATAATCTTTATGAGCATCTCCCAAAGTTATTCCAATTGATAAAAGATATTTCTAATGCCGTTTTAGTTTTCTAGAATTCTTTGCAGACATTTATAACTAAATAAGTCCCTTGCATTTTTTTTAATTAATTGAAAAAGTCATGCATATAACAGTTAAATAGATTTTTAATTCACAAAAAATTTAAAGAAATCTGAAATTAAAGAACATGCTCTGTAAAATATATGTCTTTTCCCCCTTCTTTCCTTGAAGGAAAAGGGGGGGTTAAAATTTAGATGCCAAACTAAGCCGTTTTTAGAAATAAGAACAATTTATTGCATCGGATTAGTAAAAAGCGTCGCTTAGGATGTGTAACAGAAAAACATGTTTGCGTCATTTCGGGTTATGGCTCGAACAAATCTCGTGCGGTTGGCGTACCGGGGATTGATGAAGCGCAAACGCGAAAAAAAGTAGAAAAGGGAGCAGAGAAAAATAATCGCAGATGTACACCAATGCATCACAAAAACATGTGTGGTTATATAAATCTAAGCATAATTTGGTATGTTTTTTCAGTTGAAAATTTTTACCAAAGAATTAGATATAAGCCAGAATGCTTGTTTTAATTCAGAATTTTTTGTGTGAGGGAGGGGAAGTCAGAGATAGTTAGCAGATTTTTTTTGTTTCGTTCTGCTGATTTTCGGCCAACTCAAGCAGTTTATTTCCCATAAGTTTTAGGTTCCTGAATCTAGACTTCATTTGCTCGAAACTAAATTCTCTTCATTGGCAGTAAGTTTCTTATTTAATATAAGACCATAAAGTTTCGGATTTTATGCTTGTTTAGATAATTACATGTAAATATAGCTGTTTTGATTTATAATGTAACTTAAAGATACATTACTAATAGCCCCTTATTTCTGACAAATGGGAAATTGTCGAAGTACACGAAGATCTTGGTGTCTCCTTGTGTATGAAATTCCTAACAGATATGATCGTTTCTAGTTTTGTCCATGAGTAAAACAGATACTAGATAGTTCCCTTTAAACGTCCTCCACAAAGGCATCCTTTTCCTTAGACAGATTGCCCTTACAAGCTTTGCCACATTCAAGCAAACCAAAACTCGCAGAAAAGGGTTAAGTGGTAAAGGTTGGAGTAAACTGCAATGCTTTATTCTTCATTGAAAGCTGTAATTCTTAAACATGTTGATTTATACTATTTACCAGATACATGACAGTTTAACTTGATTTTATTCAATTTATGTTTAAAAAAATAAATAAGAAACCTATTTCGTGCTGATGCATTGCAAGAAAAAGCATTAAAAGTTATGCAAATGTTTTTCTTCCTTCTTTTTAGAGTAAAATACTTATTTCTATTGTGCAGCTCAAGCAAAATTCCTAAATGGAAGATTTGTCAGATTCTTTAGCACAGAACAACAATAAGATTCAATTAAGAATTCTGTTGTCATCTGATTTAATTTTAATATTCTTGAAATTTCGATGTCACTAAGCAATAGTTTTACTAATTCGTATTTAATGAAATTCTCTCGGCTAAATGCTGTTTGCGAACAGCTTTCTGTGGTCTTTTTCTTGTGCCGCAAAAACGGCATCAGAGACAGCAATTTTAATTTTACCATTCTCATTTTTGCAATTTAATGTATGTATTAAATTAGAGGAGAAAGAAATTTTAAGGATTTAAAACTTATTTCACATTGGTATGCCACGATTTGTGATAATTAAATTCATGACATTTTATATTCAGACAGCAACGTAGTTTATGAAGAAAACGGTATTTTTTTAAGCAGTAAAACTTCGCCTTTCGTTTTCAGAATATCTGTCTCGATAAATTTGAGTGTTACGATGCAAAAGCTATTTATACCCATTTCCAGATTAAATATACGTGATTGTAAAGATTCGATATTATAAAAGGAGAGTTTTATAGAATTTTAAGAACTGATTAATTCTTGAAAAGTGGAGAATCGAAGATGAGGATAAAATTTTAAATTTGTAAGCTATCCAGCCGTAGTATTTCTTTGAAATCGTGACATAAGTTTGTTCACCCTTCTCATTGCTCAGGCTTTGTCGGTGTATAGTTCAACGCTTTTACCCTAATGGAATTTTATTCTGTGTAATTAATATTATAATTTTAAAGTGCCTTAATGTGGTGCCTTTCCGTATAAGTGGTTTACAGACGCAATTTGATGGCAGGCTCTTTTCGTTCGTGCTTAGCAAAGCATATCCAATACTAACATATGATTGAGTGCTTTCAATTGATTCTAGCTGCTCACCTCCCTGAGGAAAAGAAGGAAAAAAATGGGAGGGGGTCGAGAAGGTCTTACGTTCTGCAACCAATGTGTAGGAGGATTTTCCTGTAGTATTTTTTTAAACTATATTTTTGGTTGTATGTGACATCGCTTTGCACCTGAATATCAAGAACTAATAATTAATTTTTCCCACCTCTGAAATAAGGGTAAAAAAAATTAAAAACGGATAACTTTTTTTTGAGGGATTTTCTCAAAGGTCCGAATGGGATGGGTCCTGTCTTCATAAATCTGCCATCTATAATCCGAATACCAAAGCGGCGACTAGGAGTGCAAAATACATGCGTCATTCGGATCGGCTTATTCACAAAATAGGGTGGAGGGACATGAATAATGTAATAGGGATTTTTCAATTCTTATTTCTTCTTCGTTTATTACGACAGCATTCAAAGAATACATATTTAAGGAAGCAGATAATTACTTTCTAGTAATCTAAGCTGATACGCTGATCACCATTTATAAATAGTTGTTTGATTATAATGTGTTTAAGTTTTGTATATATTTATGTATTAATAAAAAATACGATTGTCCTGGAAGTTAAAGTTTCCTACGCATGCATAATTTATGATAAAATGTAATAAGTAACTGTTATTGCACTCTAATAAATAATTGCTATTATAATTATTATACTTTATTGCATAATTTTCATTCTAAGTCATACTAATTGTTATTTTGTTTGGTATAAAATAATAGTAGACTTCGTGTTCTCGCAAACATAATCTGGTTTTCTCTCTCTTTGTCTTAGACACTGGAATTTTCAAAAGAGGAGGTTAGTTCTGAGTTGTGAACTATCTTGAATTTAAATCACCTCAGATTAAATAAGGTTTTTAATCAACGCAACATATATTTCAACCAATATTAATTTTCATTAGTTCTAGTAATTATGCAGTTACAAATGTTATGAAAATTTGTTTCACTTCCTTTGCTTAAAAATATGAATTTTTATTTTGCAGGTGTTTCCAGCTTATGCAACATCGTAACCTCCTTGTTCTTGCATTATTGCATACTTCGCATTTCGATTTCGAAAGTGGAAAAGAGATCAGAAGGATGTTTTCTTACCTTCCATAACACATAAAGTAAGCAATATTTAAATAATATATGATAAAGAGCGTGCAACAAAAATGATTGTGTGTTTTAATTAAATAGGTGAACAAAAGCCACATAGAAATAAAGTAAATATTACTGAGTCATCGTTATTTTTTTTCCCTCCATCTACTTCTATCGGGAAACTATTATTTATTTAAGCTGATGCTTATATTATTATGAACAGAAACCTACATTGCTCATTCTAAGCTTCGATGTCTCTTTCCCCCCCCCGTTTGCAAAATTTCCGGTTGATTTTATTTAATAAAGGCGAAGCGCGCAATTGCTGTATAGAAAATTATAGTTGTTTTTATGATATGCGTTTTAAAGGAAACAGATTCGCATTCACTTTAAATATTAGGCTTGGATTATTTAGGTTATAGCGTAAAGCACGTGTAAGGAAAAGGGTGCTTTCGTGGAGGACTTTTTAAAGGAAATGAGTTGGTATTCACGTTATACTTAGGGAAAAATATGAAAATTCTATGGTGTCAGCCAATTCGCCAGATATGAAACAAGGGCCTTACTGCTACTGTCCAGCAACTCACCCGCTTAGGGTCTTAAACATGGGGTAAAACACGAAAATCTTATGCAGCTAACCCATTTACAGGCCACAGAACCCAGAATAAATTAGCAATATTTTACAGCTTTAGCCACTCGACTGTTGGCGTGCCTTAACATTTCTGAAGGAAACAGAATGGATAAAAAATCTCCTGGATTAGCTTTCCCAAAAGTGTGTTTACTTTACTCTTCTTAAAAAGTTCATCTTAACTCTTCAAGTTCTTCAGAGTTTGGGTGTGATTGGCTGAGCGGTAGCATTTTAATATGCGAGCTTAAATTGAAAATACTTAGCCGGTCCTTTCAGCGCCAAACTAGAGTCTAGATAATTGGCCGAAACATGGTAAATTTACAGTTGAGTGTTTAATAAAATACATTTAGAAAATAATAATATTTTAATACACTTAAATAAATATAAGTCATTTAATGCATTTAAAGTAAACTTAAGCCTTTTATTTTCCTTTTGGCTAAGTTTGCATCTCAGATCTTTCTTCTCTGGAAGAAATGAATAACCGATAGTAACGTGATTTAGTGTGGACAGTTTATTTCTAAAGACCCTTAAGATTACCTATTGCACCTATTTTAATGCGTTTATTTCTACTCCTAAGTTTCCCTAATACAAAACATAATTTTATTTCTGAGAGTTCTGCGGGAGAATAAACCAACTTGTGCCACTTCACTGTGCAATAACTGAACTGCATTAGAAAATATTGAGCGACTACGTTCCTCACTGATCTTCAATTTTTAAAGCACGTACATTTCTTTAAATACACTGGTGAAATAAATTAAGAGAATTTGCATATTTTATCGAATTGCGTGAAAAATAACTGAACTGAAAGAAAAAATTCTAGATAAAAATGTAAATCTTGTACGGCAACTACGTAAGTGTATATGAGTGTGTAGGCGGAGCCAGCAGAAAAACAAGCTTTATAAGCGCGTGGAGAGTAAGACGAATTGTATTCACTAGCATACCTCGCCGAATTTCTTGGTGTTATCTTCAAGCAATCGGTTAAATTCACATAGGAATAGTAAAAATGAGTAACCACCAACGTTTAAATGATGGAATGAGGTGAATTGTGAGAAGGCTAGAGGCAGGCCAATCGCAAGTCCAGATATGCAGAGAAGTTTAATTTAACGCTCAGCGTCGTGTGTAACAGTTCCACGATACTAGATCCATCGAGAGAAAGCCTGGGCAAGGTCGTCCAAGAGCCCATTTTAGCGAGACGTAACAGAGGCGCTACAGCTTCTCAGCTTTCTCGAGAACCTGTATGCAGCCACAGGAACCCATGTAACAAGGGTGACTGTTTCAAAAGACTGAATCAGGGAGGGCTGTTTGCCAGAAGCCCGGCTGTTTGCGTCCCGTTCACGTCTGCGGACAGGAGAGTCCGATTAGCATGGTGCAGGCAGCATAGTGATTGGAGTACGGAGCAATGGGCGACCGTTCTGTTTACCGACGAGTTCCGTTTTCGCCTAAAGACACTCTTCTCACCGTACTTTCATATTGAAAGAACCAGGGACCCGCTACCTACCCTTCAATGTCCGCGAAATTAACAATTATGGCGGTGTAATGGTCTGGGCAGGCATCATGTTGGATGGCCGCACACCTCCCCACGTCTTTGACAGAGGCTTTGTGACTGGTGTGAGGTATAGGGATGAGGTCTTAGAGTCCTATTTTCGCCTTTTCCGGGGTGCAGTGGGCCCCGAGTCCATCTTACAGGACGATAACGTGAGGCCACGTAGAGCTCTTCTGGTCAACGAATTTCTCGAGAGGGAGGAGTTCAACAGTAGGTATACTGCTTTATTCAGTACTTCCATCAGTGGCTAACTAAGTTTTTCTAATTAAAAAAAAGTGTTTTAATGCCGTTTGAAAATTGTTAAAACGTATACACTTTCTTTATTAAATAATAATTTCGAGTACTGTACGCCGTAACTGCAGAAGCTATTGCTTGAAATGCAATATTACATTGGAAATTTCGAGAACCGGAGAAATACCGTGCATTAATTCAGTAGTTTCTGTTTTTGAGCTAACTTTTTTCCTTTTTTAATATAGTTGGTAATACAGCTGGGTTATGAATCAGGGATATAACCGCATCTACCTGAAATACGAGGCTATTATTTCTGAAAAATAAAGCGAGGAAGTGCCAGCTAGAAACACAGATTTTCAGCTAGAAATACAAATTGTGATAGCACAGCTGATTACTGATTTCATAGCTTCAGAATCATGGAATTAAAAAAGAAAAAGAAATGCGTAACGCTACTCGAGGTATGCTTGTTACTGTACTGCCTAAATCTATTATTTATTTGTTACTATTATCTGAAATTAAATATTTCCAGCTGTTATATTCGCGTTTTCATTTCTTTTCTTGAACTTTTCCTTTCTTGGGACGGGAATAGTAATAAACTTTTGTTGCCCTCAAGGGGAACAATCCTTAAATAGAATATAAGGTATTTTTCTGACTGTCGCTGATATTTGAATGTATATATATATATTTTGAAAGCGTTTTACGGAAAATTTATAACCAGTTTATCTTCGAGGCTGCTATTCTTTAAGATTTTTATAATCTCCTAAAAATTATCTTATTTAATAATTCGGACCTTCAAGGAGAACTCAAACGTCACATTTTACTTAACGGCATATTCCGTTTACTTTCGAAATATCAAGCCTATTTCGGTATTTCGATCATTTGCAATTAAAGCATTTTTCGTATTTGATTTCGAAACAGGTCATATTTAGGGGCCATATACAAATGGAAGAGAGAAATGTTTGTATTTGTAGGTAACTAAAAATGAAATATCAGTTCAGCAAATGTTTTCTAATGTTAATGGATGAAATGAAGGGCTTTTATCAGGAGACTGTCATAAAAAATATTGATAAATATATATTTTTTTCAAAAACGATATCTTATTCATGAAATCTTACAGAATTCTTGTGTTAGAAAACCCTAGCGGGCGTCAGTGTTGTCATACTACCAACTCGCAACCGTATTTGCATAAATTTGAAATTAAAAAATATTTCAAGTTTAATGAATTTTTAATGATTATTTGTTATAAAATTTCATGAGAACATCAGTAATGCAGTCTTTAGCGTCTGAAAACTTATTACTTCTGTATAAATTCCTTTCGTATGCAAAATGTAACAAAATGATAAACTAAAGGACGTTACAGATTAGTAAACTGCAAAAGAACATCAATAAAAGGGGGAAATCATACTCGAGTTATTCTTATTTGTTATCCGACTTTTTAAAACAAGAGGAAAATGACCTCAAAAATCACAAATTTTAAAATTGAGTATATGCGTCATTTTTCATTGCATGGAAATCAAACTTATTGTTTCCGTTTTTTAATAATGAGCATCAAATTTTTCTAAATATGGGGACTGTATAAAAAGTTAAACTTCGTAATCTTATAAATTTGATTTTTTTTAAATTTAAAAATGTGAAAACATAAATGCTTGCGTCATTTAAAAAAAATTTGCAATTTGAAATATATGTCTATGACTAGCAGCTCCGAAATAAGGGCTGGATAAATAATTTTTGTGTTCACTGTGTAAACATTGACTATACGTATGTCCTGTTTTAATAGGAACAATACGGTTTTATTTCCATGTCATTTCCATCTCAGATCTGTAAACAAAGACAGAGCAGTAAAATTCCTGTGTTAGGACGGAGTTAGGGAAACAACTTCTCGTTTAATCGGGTTACCTTTCTCGTGTAGTCCAGATACGTATTTGTATTTTATATGTTGCTAGTGAGAATATTATATTTCGTATTTGATTTGGAAACGGATCATATTTAGGGACCATATACAAATTGAAGAGAGAAATTTATTTTGTTATCTGCGATACTGCGTCTCTAGACTTTGGTTTGAAATTAAACTATAAGCATCACGCGTATAAGTTACGAGCAAAAAAATAAAAATAAATAAATAAATAAATAAATATCAGCGAAAAAGAAGTACAATTTCAGAAACAGTTACAAAAGGCGATTGTAAAGGAGTAAAATGTCTTCAAAGGAAGAGGAAGGAAAAAAAGATGATTGTAGTTTTTCGATCTGTGAAATTTTCACAAAAAGGGAAAAGATGCGAAGTTTTCGGTTAATAAGCAGCTAATCTGATAAAGCTGTGGCAAACTATAGCATGTGCGTTTTCAGTGAAATGCCATGTTTCACTTTAAACATTTTAAACCGTAAACAATAACAAATTATATTGAACAAATATTAAATTAAATGGAGGCGCAGTGTATCTTAAGCAAGGTCGAGTAGAAAAGTAAGGAAGGCAGAGAAGATAAGTTTAATGGAAGAGAAATTTTGAAAATCGTAACATCTCCTCCTCGTCACTTTCCGCTTATGATTCGCTTTGTACAGGTATAAATAATTTATAGATACTTTGTACAGGTTCGACTTATGATTTGCTTTGTATAGGTAAAATTAAATTTTCTTCT